CCCCCCCCCCCACCGCCTCTGACAGCTTTCTGTGCCTCCCTCCTGCCTCCACAGCAGACCACGGCAGGCCCCTGCCCAGAGAGTGAGTCTTCTGGCTCTAGCCACAGGCAAGGACAATTGGCTGCCTGTTGCTCTTCATTAGAAACTCTCAGAAGAGATGAGATGACTGGCAAGCTTGGGTCAGGTGTCCACCCCTGGACCCATCGGGCTGGCCAGGAGGAGTGCCAAGTAGGGCTTACAAGGCCAGGGCCTGCCTTCCGAGATGGAGGGATGGCCCAACGACAGGCCCCAAGGTATTTCTTCTAGAAGTAGCATGTTTCCTGCCTCACCTCTCACCTGGTGGGAAGTTCTCCCGGGACTGTCAGGCAAACCGGCCTGTCAAGCCTGCATTTCCCCAGCGCCACCCACAGCGTCTCCCAGAGGGGGGGCCCAGCGCAGGACAGACTGGCAGGAGCAAAGACCTCGGTGAGCTGGAAAGAGGCTCCTGTGAACGGGGTGGGGGGGAGTCGACAGCAGCAACCTGGGAGCAAGTTACCTGGGAGGAGAGGGTTAGGGGAGACCTGGGCGGGGCTGCAGGGCGGTGCGTGTGAGACCCGAGGGAAGGAGAGGGCGCGTGTCATCGGGCTTTGTCTTTCCCTCCCAGGAGACTCGCCCGAGGTCCTGGCAGCCGCTCAGCAGGTTTCCCATTGGCCCACATCCCCCCTGGCCTCCCGTCACCAAGCAACAGCGCCGGCGGTGATGCTGTGTCCCCTCCCTCTTCTTTCTCACCCGCCTTCCCAGCCCTGCCCTTTGGTCCCCTCTAAATGGAGGAAATGTCACGTGGCCCTTGCACCGAGAATACAGGGTGGCAGGGCTGGGAGGGCCTGGGCTCTTTATTTGCTAACTTCAATTTCCTCAACTGAAATGTAAAAACAATTCCTAACATCTGACACTTGAGCGATCGAATGAGATGGTATCAGTGACAAGGCCTTGTAAACTCTAAAGGGTTTGCAAATGCTAGTTCTGGTGATGAGTTGCGATGAGGAAACCAAGATCTAAAGGAACCAAGTGACCTCCAAGGACAGGCAGTAGGCGATGGGCAGCGCTGGTGGGGACCCAGGGCCGCCACTCCGTCCGCAGCGCTCAGGGTGCCCCTGCGCTCAGATGCGCCTGTGGTTTTGTACATTCCGGGAAGAGGGGCACCTTGAGGAGGTGCTTTAATGTCAATTAATGAAGGAAGCACTTTCACTCCCAGAGCCACCCTCTCTTCCGAGAGCGTCCACAATAGCATCCTGCTCACAAAAGGGCAGCCCTGCCTTCATTCCACTTCTGTGATGGCTCCTTTTGGGCCCCAGTCACTTCCCTGTGGGGCATGTCGTCAGCTGGGAAGAAGGTACCTCTTCATTTTCAGTCTCCCTTTCCCCCAGCTTCTCTCTGCCTTCTCATATTTGCCACCTTCCTTTACTCCCCTTTTTTTTCCTCTCTCACCTTATTTCCTACTCCCTGGGCCCCTGAGGGCACCCGTGTGTCTGCATCTTCCGGAGTAATTTGAAATTTCAGATGAAATAGGACCAGGTGTCTCTGGCAAATGACCAGAGGCCCCAAGAGCCACAGTACCCGGTGGGTGGGGCCAGGGGACACAAAGCGACTGGCAAGCTGGCCCTCTGCCATCTCAACCACAGCAACACCTGCGAGTGTGAACACGCCCAGGAACCTTGCTCTGATATCATATGTTAATTTGCGGGAGAGATGCGACTGTCACGTAGACAAGGGCTCTACACACCAACCTGGGAAGCCAGTTATAATCAGAAAGTCGCCTGATACGAGTGGAGTCAGAACCATGGAGCCAGAACTAGACAGTGCATCGCAGACTGCTGGATGGGTCTGGGTGGAACAAAAGTGGGTTAGTTGCAGTTAAATGAATTGAATTTGAGGGATATTTATAGGAGGGATGGGCAGGACTTTGGACTGGTGAGATGTGAGGGGTGAGGGGAAGGATGATGCCGAGGTTTCTGGAGCCGCCGTGTCTCCGGGGAAGTAAGGAGTAAGCTGCTGCTGCTTCCCGGCCACGTCAGGCACGGCTGGAGTGGAAGTCGCTCCTGTTGTCATCTGGAGGAGTTTTTCATTTTTCCCATTGCCGATTTCTCAGTGATGACCTGTCTCTCGTCTCTCTGCCTCTCCTACAGATGCAGAATGTCATGTATGACTTAATCACAGAACTCAATGATCGGAGCGAAGACCTGGAGAAGCAAATTGGGAGCCTGGAGTCCAAGCTGGAGCATCTCACTGCCAGCTTCAATTCCCTGCCCTTGCTCATCGCGGACACGCTGCGCCAGCAGCAGCAGCAGCTGCTGTCTGCCATCCTCGAGGCCCGGGGCGTGAGCGTGGCAGTGGGCACCACCCACACCCCACTCTCCGACAGCCCGATCGGGGTCAGCTCCACCTCCTTCCCGACCCCGTACACAAGTTCAAGCAGTTGCTAAATAAACCTCCCCACTCCAGAAGCATTACCCATAGGTCTTAAGATGCAAATCAACTCTCTCCTGGTCACTTTGCCATCAAGGAACACTGAGACCAGGGAATGTAAAGAAGAGAGTCCGAGCTAATTAACTAACTCATGTTCATTCAGCGTGCTTGGTTCGATATGCCTTGAAACCAGAAATCTAATCTCTGTTTAGGTGCCTCTACTTGGGAGCAGGAAGCTGAGATGACAGGAGGCGACACCTCTGGCAGGGCCCTTGCTGCAGAGTTGGTGGAGAACAGAAATCCACGCTCAATCTCAGGTGTTCACAGCGGGGATGGGAGTCAAATGCACTGAAGTGACCAACAGTGAACGGCCCAGAAGAGGGTCCCCCTGGGGGAGGGGGCGTGTCAGGCTTGGGGAACGGGCTCCTCACCACTGGGGTCCTCGAGCACAGCGCTCACTTTTCCTTTTGTCTGAGGAAGCGGCCGGATGACGAAAGGAAAAGAGAGCTGCCCACAACTTGCCAAAACAGTCATTCTTTCCTCCCATACCTTATACAATCATAAAACCCAATTGAGATGGGGAGAAAAAAACCCAGAAAAATAAAAAGCCAGATTTTCCATCCAAGATCAATACCCATATAGACCTGTGTGTTTGCAAGCATGTGCACACACACACATACATCCCACATTCAACCCAGGTCGTTTCCTGTTTGAACTTGACCTGAGTGAAAATGGACCTGGTACATTACCCTGCACACAGTAGGCACTCTCTAAATGGGTGTTGAGCTGATTTGAATCCGAATATGGGTGCTTTCAGTTCAGGTAGCTTGCTGGTGTTGGCCACATTGTGAGCTTCACGGAAGATGCAGGTCCCTTCAAACACAATACAGGTTGCTTCATGCTGGATGCGCACCATGTTTGCTTGGTCTGAGATGATGCCAAGCTAAAATTGTTGGCATTCTGGAACCTTCTAAAAATAACAGCTTTGCAGGGTTTTCTTCTTCTAGCCAAACAAGTCATGTTCCTATGGAGCGCGTGACTAGGTGTGTGTGAGGGACGGGGGTCAGGATCTGTGCAGGTGTGCCCACACATGCACAGACAGGTGCGACCCAGTGACACCTGAGAGAATAGATGTATTGTCTGGGGATTTGCTCAGCTCGATTTATCCAGCAACAGGTTTCCAGGTCCAGATGTTAGGAGTACAAAGTGGTCAAGTGCCTCATGTGGTCCCTTCTACCTGACCTGAAACCACCCGAAAATGAAATATTGTGAGACTAAAGGGAGCCCTTAGGGAACCTTGCAGGTCAGGAAAGATGACATGTGCCAGTAGCCTGTTCCTACTGTGCCATATTAACCTTGGTGCAAAAACTATCCTAACATCTCTCAAACTCCAGGAGACTTCAGAAACAGTAAGCTCCAGTGTAATGGCAGGCATTGTGAGGAGGGGGCCTGTGGAAGCAAAATATTCTCATTGCTCCGTAACCTAACCACACATACCATTTGTGATGTGAACTCCACGTGTTACCCATCATTCTGAGGTCTTTGACTTCTGCCTGTGGGGAGTTAGAGATACTGCATGGAATATTTATCTGTTTAGGGTAAAACAAACGGGTGTTGTGTGTGTGGTGGCCCTGTTGGGTTTCGCTTTGTGCCCGACATCATCACCGTTCTGAAGGCAGTGTCTGGCGAGGCAGGATTTTCTTCTAAGGACAAGGGAATCAGTAAAAGGTAGATGACCCCAGAACTAAGGCCACTATTTTTTTTTAATCCTCACCTGAGGATATGTTTTTATTGATTTTTAGAAAGAGAGGAAGGGAGAAAGAGAGAGAAACATTGATCGGTTGCCTCCTGTATGTGCCCTGACCAGGGAATTGAACCCAGAACCTTTTTGGTGTATGGGACGATGCTCTAACCAACTGAGCCACCCGGCCAGGGCAAACTAAGGCTATTCTTGCTTAACTTCTTTCTTCTACCTATTTTTATTGCTGCTGCTGTTCCTTTAATGGTCTCATGTTCATTTTGATGATCCTTTTGAAGATTTTCATTGATTGTTTTGCATACCACAGATGCCACATTTGCTGTGGGATTTTTATTTTTTTACCTGTTCTTTTAACTATTGACTATCTGAAAGATCCCTCTCCTTTGTCATGTCCCAAGAATGGCGCTCCTGTTTCCGTGACAGTTCAGCTGAACAGATAAACAAACATGTAAACAGATGAAATAACCATGCAGTTTCTTTGAAGCATCAATTCCATTTCACAAAGTGAAGACCACCGACAGGTCATGCTGAGTGTGCCAATTCTGATCATTTAACCCACGCCCTCAACTATTAATTCCTGTCTGCACTGTCCATCCTGCTGTAACCCTGTGACGTGTGTGTGCACGTACACACATATAGCCATTTATTCTTCATTTCAAAGAAATGACATGCAAGATTCCATTGCCACTCCCCCTGCCCAAAAGCGTGCACAGACTATCATTGATCCATCCCAGCTTGTGGATAAGTCTTCTCTAACCCATGATGAATGTTGTCCACTGAGTTAAGTCCTGAAGACTACACCGGCAACACTAGTAAAGGGTATAGTTGGACTTATTTCCAGTAGCAGTAGCCACTGGCTCCTGGAAACACATGAGCATTTGGAGCATGCCTTGACCTATTGGTAGTGCAATAGCTATGCACAGATTTTATCATTGGCAAAAGGATACTTCATCTTTTCCCCAAAAAGTAATCAGATTTGCATGTTGACCTGGCAGTGTTAAATGGAAGGCTGCTTCTCTGTACTGGTAATTCAGCTTTACGTGGGAAGTTACCCATTCTCCTGCAAGTACAATCAACCCTCAATGACTTAGGCATTGATTATCCAGGGTGTAGCTCACCCAGGTGTTCCTCTTTTGGCTGATTCCACTGCTCTTCATCAGCACAGTCAGGTGGGAAGAGGGGGCAGGTGGGTCCTCGTACCATGCCTTCTTGTTCCTTATTTTCAAGTTTAATTATCTACTCAACAATTGGCTATATGTAAAATCTGAATTACAATAACCTCTCTCCAATACTGAACTAGCTGAGTTCTGCCTACTCCTGGAAGGCTGACCCAGTGGCAGAGTCCCTACTATAACCTGTCTGATAACTTAGTGACAGGTCAAAGTACCCTGATGTTCCCTAAAATATCTAGACACTTGAATTAAAAATACAGGGCCACCCCCTCATTGCTTAAGCCATATTATAGCTTCATGTACTGTAAAGCCAGGGATGTACTGTGATACTTTAAGACCACTAATCTCAGTGGAATTTCAGGACATAGCATCAGTTGGTAAATCATACCAGACTAGGAGCTCACTCCTCCTTAGATTGAAGTCCAAATAAAAATCACCTTTGGCTCAAAGGCCACGTATGTATGATCATCATGGATAAACTGTCATAAAGTATCTATGAATTGCTCTTGCCATTCTCATTATATGTAACTTCATGAATCCATATCTCCAGAAATGCTTAATATAATCCAAATGAGCAAGAGGCATAAGGCCCCGAGTCACCACTACCTAGTGACATCGGCAGGGACCGGTGGTGTGACAGCAATCTCATAACTTAGGAGGCGGAGAAAAATGTCTGTGCAAGTAAATTCCAAAGTGCTGAGTATGTGCAAGCTATTGCTTATTTAAGGGTAAGAAGGAAATAATGACTTTCATATATTGAGGATTTTCCCCTTAGATTTTCAGTGATTTCCTTGTGAATCAGCAGTCATGGAAAAGAAAAGAAAACCGCAGAGACTCAGAATCAGAATCAATAAAATTCTAACACTGGGCCCACATCTTTGGCCAATTAACATAACCACTTCATACCTCAGTTGACCTGTACTTAAAATGGAGATACTAGTTAATATTCTTAAGTGCAAAGTATTCAATAGATTTTTTTTTAAATGGAATCACTATTGTCATCAACAGCAAGCCAGACCGACTCTATCGAGTCCACATTCTGATGTTACTCATCTGAAGGCAATCAGTAGTTACCAAAAAGTATTCTATGTCCGCTAGGCAATGGGGTGAGCAGGGAGAAGCACAGGAAGAGCACACGGCTCCAGGGGCCCCCTCCTCTCCAGAGTGCACCTGGACAAGAGCGCCTCCAAATTAAGGATCAGCCTTTCATCCCAGAGCAAACGGTGTCACTAGCATCGCAGTATTGCAACTAGGACACTAGGGACGCATTGCACTACCAGTAGGTTACTACTCTTTTTCAGTTACTGCTTTTAAATCCTAAAATATGTCCCCCAGTTCTATACAGTCATTCATTCTACTTCCTTGGAAGTTGCCAAGAAGCAGATTGAGGATCCGTTGGTGGTCGCTTTGCCGTCCCTATTGACACGGCTGCATTCGGTTTCAGTACCTTAGACAGCTATCGGGTGGTTTCCCTTTAGGCAGGGAACAGCCTCTTCCCTCCCCCTGCGGTCAGACAGCTTGAGGACACTGGACAGTACCCCTTCCCTCTCTACTGCCACCAAAGGAATCATTATGGGAACGGGACTGTGGATCCCCCTAGGAGAGGAGTGTTGCGGGGATGGCAATATTAACTGTCTGCCTCTGGTGTAGAATATAGGAGAGTGCCCTTCATCCTGAAAGCTTGTACCAGGTTGCACGAATAGAAATTAGCATTAAAACTTGTGTCAGACAACTAATATGTAGATTTTTACTGAAGTAGACAAGCTTATTAAAAAGTATTCAGTGCAATGGTATATACATATATACAAACTAGGGGGGAAAAATAACTGTGATTTTTTTTTTCTTACACCATTACTGGAAGCACCCAAACATGAACTGGAGTTCCCTCTGAACAAAACCATTATCAAATCTTCAACGTATGACCTCCAATCTAGGTGCCAAGTGCCCTGCGACACTTATTTACACACCTGAGAAACGCATTCTGGAAGCTGTGATCTCGGACCTGGGCCATGTGTTGAAACAAACAAAAGAGACGTTGTGACCAACCAAGCTGATGGAGGAAAAGCACAAAATTTAATATCAACCTGAAGTTAAGATCCCAAAGAGATGCTGAATTTATAGCCAAAAAAAAAAAAAAAAAAAAAAA